GTTCAGCCCTCCCCTGAGGCCACTTGGAAGGCGACTGGCATCTAGAGGAGGTGCAGGAGAAGCCCTGCCCAAGGTTGCCCTGGCAAAGGCTGCAGCCCTCCTGAGTGAGCAGGAATTCTCACCTTCCTCACTGGTAAAAGGGAAGAGCCCACACAACCCTTTTTCATTCTCCATTTTACAGACGACCCTCAGCAAAGTTAAGGAACTGGCCCAAAGCTGTAGCAGCCTGCGAGTCCAAGCTGTCTCTATGTCACTGCAGGTGTCTTTGGTCCTCCCCAGTCTCAGGAGGATTAAAGGAGAGGACTTGTGTGAAAGCACCCAGGCCAGCCCAGAGGTCTGAGAAATAGGCTAACCCTAAAGCTGGGGCTCTGGAGCTGCCTGGGGGATAGCAGCACATGTTGGGAGGCCAGAGGACAGCAATCTTCTCCATCCAGGAGGGGATCGCTCTGGGTCCTGCCCTCCTCTGCAGCAGCCACTGGGGCTTCCCGCTGGAATTTCCCTTCAAAGAATAGCCTTGCCAGTCACCCTTAAGGAGCACGGTCAGCCAGCCACCTCCTGCTGCAGTGCCTTCCCCAGGCAGCTAATGACTGCGTGGGCCTGGCCACCTCTGCCCAGCATGGGAGTCCCCTAACCGGAGCTCCAGCATGGGCTGGCCATGACTGTCAGCTCTGCACGGCAGTCAGGGTCTCCCTGCTCAATTAATCCTGCTTCCTCCCCTTTACGTTTCAGCTGCAGTACTGCCACTCTCATGCCATAATCTCCTGCACTCCAAACCCTGTCTCAACATCTGCTTCCAAGAGGACCCAAACTGCCTCCTCTCCTGTATCTGTGTACCTCCAATCTGTCCAGGTCTTTGCTGACTCCACCCTGGTTTCCCAGGGGTTGGATGGTACCTGATAGGTCCTCTGGGAGGGCCCACCTCTTCCAGCAGGCCTTTCTGATGGCCCTTCCCACCTGCCCCTACTCGCCCAAGCCATGGTGCAGCTTTTCTGGGGCCTCTACCCAGGTGTGGGGTTTGCCTCCCTCTCCGACAGGATCAAGATCCTGCCCCACCATGCCTGGCCTTAAGAGCAGGTCCACCTCTATGCCCAGGGCCATGATAATCCCACTGTCTTGGAGGTCCTGAGTCTCGCTCAGGAGGGCCAGCCCCCTTCCCCTGGGCCTTGCCCACTCCCCACGCTGAGCTGGGCATTCACCTCGAGCTCCTCAACACTCTAGTCGTTCTCCTGATCCTCACTCCCTTCCTTCTCTCTCAGTGGAGCAAACTCTTCACACCCTGGGCTGCCACTCCCTCCTCTCTTCCACGTCCCTCTCTGCTCTGCCACCATCCCTGAGGCCTAACAATACCCTCTGGTCTCCCCCATTCTAAAAGAGTCAAGAAACCATTCCTGGCCTTATTTCCTTCTAAGCCACAGCCCCTCCTCCTCCCATCCTGTCACACACCTCACCCCTCATTCCTGTACCTGCAGCCTCCCATTCCCCAACAACCCTCCCAGGGCCCCCGCCCTCTATCACCTGTCTCTGCTTTCCATCCAGTCAACCTCAACCACAAGTCACACCACCAATGACTATTTCTTAAAACTCTCCCCTGGCTTCCAATATACTTTCCTCTTCTGGCTCTCTTCATTAATGAAAGAGTTAATGAAATAGCTAATATTTGCTTCTATGGCACTAAACATTTTATATGGATTACCTAGTTTCAGCCCCAGGACAACCCCAGGTGGAAGGTACCATAACCGTCCCAACGTGTGGAGGTTCTGTCCAGAGTCACCCAGCTAGGCCCTCAGATGCCACCAGAACTCAGCCCTGGCTTCTGTGGCCTCTCTCCTCTCCCACTCCCACGCTGGCCCTTTATTTTCCTCTGTTCTTCTCTCTGGAGATCACACACACACACGCACACGCCCCAAGCTTCACCCCTAGCCTCCAACTCCGGCTCAGACACCTCCTGAGCTTTGGACTAGCATCTCCTCCTCTGTCTCCTGGGCCCCTCACACAGGACACAATAGAACTGGAAAATCATCCCAGACATCTCGCTCTCCTTGTCCCACAGTCATCAGGTTGGGACAGTGTGACCTCCAGTGTCCTGTGTCTCCACTCCCATGGCTACTGGCACAGTTCAGACCTTCCACACTTTTTTTTTAAATGTTAAATTATGGTAAAATATACATAAGAGTCACCCTTTTTAAGTATACAGTTCAGTGGCATTTAGGTACTTTCACAGTGTTATGCAGCCATCGCCTCTATCCATCTCCAGAACTCTTTTCATCTTGCAAAACTGAAGCTCTGTACCCATTAAACAACTCCTCATCTCCCTCACCTAGTCCCTAGCAACCACCATTCTATTGTCTCTGAATTTGACTCCTCTAGGTACCTCATTTAAGAGGAATCAAACAGTATTATCTTTTGTGACTGGCTTATTTCACTTAGCATCATGTCCTCAACGTTCATTCGTGTGTCAGAATTTCCTTCCTTTTTTTCCTGAATAATACAATTGACCCTTCAACAACGTGAGGGTTAGAGGTGCCAACACCCCTCCCCCAGTAGAAAATCCTCCTATAACTTTTGAAGTGTGCTATCCCCAAAGTGGTGAGTGGCTGTGCCAAGGCCCTGTTG